TTGCTTCTTTAGTTAACACAAGCTCATCAAATAGACGATTACGTTCCACCACCACCGCTATTCGTTCTTAATTAGCGAAATTGAGTTAACGTGTGGAACGTCCCCAGTAAAAAAAGTGGCAGTCAAATTCTCAATATCTCTAATTGCAATCCATCAGCGTGAAATTTGCCGAAGGCAACTTTTTCATTTTTTCTGGTTGCCGCAGGCAAAATCGCGTGAAAAAGTAGAAGCATGGGATGAAATATCCCCGATGTTCGACAACACGTGTCGGGAACAGGGACAAAGTGCCACGGCACCTGCTGCTATCTCTTAACACTCTACGCATCCCGAATTTTCATGGGGGAAACACAGGAACGAACACATATTTTATTTAAACGTTCTTACCGCCGATATTGATAAAACCCCCACAGGTATGAAAATAATGGCCACATTTAACATATTTGGCATCACATTAATAGCAAACAATTCGGGAGTTTTGCAGTAAAATTTGCTAATTTATTATTTAGCTTAGAAATTGAGTGCATGATCAAGCTTTGGGATATGAAAATGTTTGAGTTCCTCAGAGTATTGAGGTAAAGACCAAAGCTTCTTGCTCATAAATCAAGTCGAAGAACATACAACAAGATTAGTTGGTTTTTGTTAAATAATAACGGKTTCTAACAAAACAAAMTAAGGTTTTTTWAACATGCAATGAACCAGTTTGCGCTTATGAAACACAAGAAYTAGAACTAGAAAAGTAGTCGAGAAATTCCTGTAATGAAAATCGACGCTTTCGCCAACCATTCGTCAACAGCGACAATCAAAGGAAAAGGAAATATCCGAGCACTTTGGTAAACTACCAAAATAAGGACAATTTATTGAAATAAACAGCATTTTTGCGAAAGAAAATACTCGACGCCAAGACACGGGACCAATAAAAACAAACCAATTCCGGTTCAAAGCGAAAGAAAACTTTTAAAATTCGAAAGGGGAGAGCTGGCAAAGTAACGAAAGACTTTGTTTTTCTCGCCCAAAACCTTAAAATAGCTTCAAAGACGCTTAACCGGATAACTGAAAAGAGTTTTCGTATTGGAAAATCCAGCGATCAGTACATCAATCTTCTTGGGTAATAGCAGTGTTTTCATTACATCAGATCAATAGGGTGTGACCTTTTCAGAATCATGTTTGAAATAATTTCCAATTCTCGAACTATCAATTCAAAATCAACTAACTCTAGCAGATTTGATGGGTTCTATACCAGCCTACTCAAAATTGGAGTTGACTAAAAATTTCCGAATTTGTGTGAAAACACATAATAATATGCACTTAACAAAGTTGTTGATTTGAGGCCTTCCTTGTTCTCTGCTCACAAGTTTTTATTTACATCACGATTGCCTCAGTTTGTGAAAACTGAAGAGGCCTTATCTTAACGAACCGATTTCGCCCGGAACTCAAATAAAAGAATGTCTGATTAGGGTTTATTAGAACTCCTAGTTAAGCTTGTTCCTTTAAGTACGCCCGTTCAGTTGTTTTCGGTGTTATTCAATTATGCCTTTGGTTACTGTCTTCTTATCTATATATAGAACTCCCTCAGCCTCTAGAAAAGGCACACTTCCAATCAGCCTGCCGGACAATTCGCCACAATATTGAATTCAAACAAAAATTCAGAAATTGATCAAATTACTTAAAACATTAGATATGTTTGGACTTTAAATAATAGGCGATTGCGTGTGAGAAACCTGCCAGTAAATGATCAAAATCGGCTTTGAATAAACGTGCAAAAAAAGAGCCAAAACAAAGCCAGCAATACTGAATGTCTATTGCAATCAGCCAATCATAAATAACGCTAAAGCTAACCGCTGTCCAGAAAATGGGAATTAATATTTCACGTTTGGCACATTGGCGAATAAAATTTGAAATGGCATCAGTTTAATTCCTGAACATACACGAACGAGCAAATGCCATGAAGTTCTGTGTTTTACATAATTTAGAGTTAGTCAAACGCTAATCAGGATTTAATGATGCGTTATTAACGCAGCATCATCCAAATCCCATATTGTTCGTTAGCCATCGACATTACGGTGCATTCAGTTCGTGCCAGTTAGTTTCTGAGTTTTTTGTTATGCAGGATCAATCGCATACGCACATGTTGTAATTATAGGAAAATGAAATTTTTTGTGTGTCAAGTGGAGTGTTTGCTGTTGTCCGAAATCGGAAATCCTGAATTGTTTCTATTGTTCATGATCACATTAATTTTCTGACTAGTTGCCAATAAATTAATCTACGCTCTATTACACTGGATAAGCTTGCTGATGATTTGTCGAGAGATTAACTGTATCTTCCCTCTAATTTAGCCATATAAATTGCTAGTTGAATTTAACGCAGTGATGTGATGTGTGCAGTCGAATTTAAGCATTTTATATTGTAAKCAACCTGGGAAAACSGAGCAACCACGGCGAGAGCGGCAACACTGGTAGGCGGGGCACACCCAGGAGGGGGTGGCAACATMGGGACTACTTCACGGCTGACAGGAGACGGCGCGGCGGTACTTCCGGGCAACAACACAGAACATCCGTGGGGTTGCCAGGGGAGATGGATTATTATTGATTTGATAATGACGGTGCAAGGCGTTCATTAAAATTATTGAATTTTTCATCGATCGTATTCTTCCTTAAATTTAACCATAACAATATTGAAAAGAAACTTTATTATTCGTCAGCATTTCTTCATCACTCTTCGTCCTAAAAAACATGACATACTGCATGAAATGAAGTTAATTGACGCAAAAATTCAATAATGTACAAAAACATTAACACCTTGCACTTTAACCGACAAGTTTCATCAGCCGTGATACGTTGTGACAATCAACTTTTTTGGGTCATGGCTAAATTAAACAGTAGAAGTTGTCAATTTTAAAGCTGGAGCTTCTAAACTGTAAGTACCGTCTTTTGATCAAACAGCGCAAATTTATAAAGTCCATCTATTCCCATCGTCCACTTTATTTCTCAAGAGTAACTATTGTCTTGCGAAATTAAAACCACTGGTAGGAACAGTTTGCAAAGGTAAACGCACCCTAAGACACAGTTCAATTTCTCATTTATATAAATGATCTGGCGATACTTTTTCTCCAACAAATCTACGCCACTATTATACGCAGACTATGCATCATCAATTAACAGGCAAAAAGCTCGCACTTTTTCCAGGAGAAAGCGCGACAGAGGTGGAATGTCTAAACATTTCTGTCTTATCCGTGTATCTCAGGAAGTTAAAATAATTTTTCGGCTTTAACCCAATTACTTGTTATTAATGTTCAAAGTGCAGTGAGGACTGTTCACATTACAACAATTATGAATAAAAAAGACAATATTTATAAAAAATAATCTGTTATTCTTGTTTGTGCTGATTTGTCTTGGTTGCGTCCTCACGCTTCGCTTTTGTATTACTTTCATTTTATGAGTGAGGATTGAACTGCTGAAGAAACACTTGATATGTTTACTTTTAATTTGCAAATGCGACGGCAATTTTTCTTCGCCACCCCACTCAAAACACTAATTTAGAACAAACAAGGTAGACAAATACAACAAGTTTAAAGGACAATAAATTTGTAAAACATTCTGCAAATTAATCTCCTCAACCTGTAGTGTTATTTTCATAATATTTATTCAATCTATATACTTTCCAATGCTGGAATATTCAATTTCAACAATCATCAAGCAGGTTTTTTTTGCCAAACTTTCCGACTAAAGACTTTGATATTAAGAAAAACCCTACAAATAGTCCAAAGTATTCATACCCAGTCCCATCTTAATATCGGAGTAATTCCAGGCAAAATCGAATGCTATTTGGCTTTAATTCAAAGAACAAAACCGAACTGAAAGTTTAGAGCAGATGTGCTGGGTGCGCACAAAAGTTTTAGTTCGCCGCCGGATCTATAAAGATTCTCGCCGATGAAAACTTCATTTTAAATTCCAATCTATTTGGGAAAACTTCTGATAGCCTTTTGTCTATAAGAAATAAAGGAGTTTCTTTCCTTTTGCTCGCTCCTCAGGCGTTCGGGTGCAAAACTGAGAGCCACGCAAATTTGCCGCCTTCATAGTTCCACTGGGCCGGTTTGCTTTCCCGTCCAGGACAGGACAGAATACGACTTTCCACTTGCACAAAACACTGCGACTAGCAAAAGCTTATTAATTAGCTAAATATTTTGCAAATTAACGAGAGTTTGCGATGTTATTTCTTAATGAACATCAATGCTTTTTAAGCTTATTTGCTGAAATACTGTACAAGTGCCTACTTTAGTGAGTCAATATTGAGTCAGCTCGACTAACTAGCAGTTAAATGAAAATTGTTTAAAAAAATAATGCTTAATTAATTAGGTGAAGTCGTGGATTCAAGAAATAATTGGGAATCGGCATTAAATAATGTCTCATTATTACATTAACATTTATAATGAAGGTTTGTTGTATTTATAAATAGGCAAAATCCCGGTAAGTCCATCTCTGAGCTGTTCTCACCTGTGCAATAAGCACTGATCGTGTCTTTTGTCGAATGCAGTTTTCTTATCACCTTCAGTTGTACTTCGTT